AAGACGATGGTGAACCCGAGAGTGTTATTCCGCTGGGTGACACCTCAGATACGAACGTAGAGGGGAATTTTGACGCTGATACTAGTTCAGGAAACTTGAGTTCCTAGGTTATGCCACCGCTCCGTGTTGACCCTGTTAGCAGTGGTAAGATTGTAAATTAAAGTTTTAATTTTGCATATATATATATTTGTGTTTTCTTTCGTACTGACGGATAAGTTTAAATTTGGACGTAGGTTCTGAGATTGAGCCATTTTGGAACGACAACCCACACTATTCGTTCATTAATTGGGCTCACCCTAATGATGAGACGGAGATATTGTATGGCGACGATGACATCCACGGTGGCTGGCATTTAGGGGATCCATTATATTTGTACCAGGAGTTTCGAACTAAATCTGAAATGCAACATGCAGTCAAATTATATTGTATGAAGTCTCATCGTACTGCTGTGGTGGCAAAAAGTGATGACCATAGATTTGTGATGAAGTGTCGACACCATAATGATGGTTGTCCCTGGTACGTGCGGGCTATGTTGCCCAAGAATGGAAATAGTTGGGTTGTTAGTAAGTGGGGTAAAAAACACACTTGCCTAAACCAAGGCCTTACTCGGGACCATAGACAGCTGGATTCTGATGTAATCTGTGCAGCCATTATAAGTATGTATTACAGAATTTTTGTTTATGGTTTAATTTTTCGGTATATTTATTGATTGTGTTGACTTCGAATTTTGTATAGGTATGGTAAAAGAAGATCCATCCACGAAACCAGTTCTTATTCAGGAGAGGGTACAAAGTTTGTATGGATACAACATATCTTATAGGAAGGCTTGGAAGGCTAAAATGAAGGCCATTGGGAAGTTGTTTGGGGACTGGGAAAAATCATATGCCATTTTACCTGGTTGGCTGACCTACATGACACAGATAAATCCTGGTTATGTGTTCAAGATTGATACGGATCAGTGTTGTGACGAACGACGTGTCTACACCGATAAGGCTGTCTTTCGCAGGGTATTTTGGACTTTTCACCAGTGCATTGAGGCTTTCAAATATTGTAAACCCATAATCCAAATTGATGGCACGCACCTGTACGGGAAATACAAAGGTACCCTCTTGATTGCTACGTCACAGGATGGTGATGGATTCATTATGCCTATTGCGTTTGCCATTGTTCCACCGGGTGAGAGATTGGATGATTGGTTGTGGTTTCTTAGCCAGATGCGTTTCCATGTCACACGTAGGCATGTTATATATCTAATATCCGATCGTCACCCCAGCATCATCAGGGTTGTGAAGGATCATGCCGGTTGGCAGCCTCCATTTGCGTATCACGTGTTCTGTCTTCGTCACATTGGAAGCAACTTCAACACTAAGTTTAGGGACGTGGAACTGAAGAAAATGGTGATGAAACTAGGTAACCTATTTACATGAATGTGTACATGTTGTATGTAATGTTGTTTATGTATAACTCATTGCAATTTGGGTTCATTTTTTGCAGGTTACATGTGTTCGAAGATTCACTTTGATTTAAGATTTCAAGAATTTGTCGACAGTAACCCACAAGTAGCCTCATGGATAGATCAGATTCCCAAAGAGAAATGGTGCAGGTCTTATGATGAGGAGGGCCGAAGGTTTGGTCATATGACGACTAACCTATCTGAGTGTATCAATAAGGTCCTACGGGGTGCATGTAATTTGCCAGTAACGGCATTGGTCAAGATGACGCAAAGTAGACTTGTAGAGTATTTTGTGAAGAGGCGTGAAAAGATCCAAAAAGTAAAGGACAAAGGCTGGAGAATTGCAAAAAAGGTTGAGAACTTCTTACAAAAGAATGATCGGTTAACTGTCAGTCTCCGTGTCCGTGTTTTTGATAGAGACTTGCAGTTGTTTGAAGTTGAGGATGCCTACAATCAATCTACGCATGATGCCGGCGACGTAATGAAAACCCACCCTCATGCTCAGCTATCTCCTGCTGGTCACCCTCATCATCATCGTCATCATCATCCTCCACCTCGGGCTCAACCATGTCTACAACTGGAGCAACATCAGGAACCTCAACATCAGCCGCACCTGTTAACTGCCACACTCCTGTTTGGGGGTTCTTTGTCATCTTGCACTGCTCCAGTAGACGTTTTCCAAACTTATGATTATACCATGTGGTCTTCTTCAAGGTCACATTATCCATGGGAACATCAAAATGCTCCAATATCCTCTGAACAAGACAAGCAAATGGAAGTGCACCCTTGTGTTTGGCCTTATACATCATCCAACAGATGTAGTGCCTCCAGTTCACCGAAGTACCATGTCGGATAGCCCACATGATGGGAATGTCATGCTCCAACACCCTAGAATGATTGAACGCTCGCGGAAACAGAATGTGGGTGATGACATAGTGTAGTATGCGGGACTCCACAGTAAGCAACCCCACCGTATAGGCAATGTGTTGCCCACGGACTCTTCTCTACTCCTGCACGGCATCACCGCGTGTATATCCTGGAAGTATGGTCCTGCTGTCTGCGTCATATTCCACAGTCTGCGCAGAATCAAAGTCATACCCCAGTAACTCCAACCATACCGGAGCCGTCATGATGATCTCCACCCCGCAGACCCTAGACCTCAGCTCACCCTGATGGTAGCTGAGGTTATGGTAGAAGGCACGAACATGCAGCTCAGAATATGAACACGACAGTTCAGCCAAGGTCCTAAGATGTGATTCCTCCAACCACCTCACAATGTTAAAACCTTCTTGTTCAAAAAAGGCTGTATCAAGTGATTTGGCCCCACAAATCGGTCGGTTAACAAAGTCACGGACAAAAGATTCATGAACCACCGGGTCATTCTCGAACAAGTATCCGAATGGGAGGTCGACAGCAGCGGGGTCTTCCTCTTGTGGCCTTGACGAAGACGGACGGTCTTGTCGTAGCTTCTGTCGCCTCTCATTTCCAGTGCTAGACGATCTTCTACGGCCAGCCATGGAACAACTGCACCTACAATGCAAGTGGAAACAAAAATCAATGAACAATAACAATATCAAAAAATTTAAAATTCAATATAAAAAACAAAACCTAATCCTAAAATAAAACAGAAAACAGAAACCCTAACCCTAAAACAGAAACCCTAACCCTAACCCTAGCCCTAACACTAACACATCACAAAAACCCATTCCTTGCCCTAACACTACAACCCAAACAAAACAGCAACATAAACCCTAACCCTAAGCCTAAGGCACCACATCAACCCTAACCCTCACCCTCACATCAAACTTAGCACCCTACCCCTAACCTAAATCCACAAAATCGCAAACAGAAATCAAATGCATGGAGAAAAAAAAAAAAACTAAACTTAAAACCAAATGCAAGTCAGAATACGTTACCTAAATGTCGATTTCGCAAGTGTGAACCAAGGAAGCTTCAATCGCACCTTCAAGGGTTGAGATTCGGACTTGGTTGGAGAGAGGGGACGGAATGGAGCGATTTAGTCGATTAGGGTTTGAAAATAACCCCCTTTGCGAAATGGGGTTTTTTTAAAAAACCTGATCTGCGACATTTAGTCGACTAAATAATGTGCTTAGTCGACTAAAAGTGCAAACAATGTAGTCGATTAAGGTGAGTTTTTAGTCGACTAAAATTCGCGTTTCATGATTTCTGAGTTTAGCTCATTTAGTCGATTAAAAGTGCAACTTAATCGACTAAATGTGGGCAGGATGGTGGATAGTTCTGGGGGAGGGACAAATTGGTTATTAATTATTTAATTAGGGGCAAATGGGTCAAAAAGCCTGAACAATTGAGCAACATTATTGGTCAAAGTTTTCTTCAAAGGCAAGGGATTTTTTTATTGGGCATAAGGGCCCGTTTGGATGAGCTTTTTTTTCTTCAAAAACTGCTTTTTTTTCAAGAAAAAAAGCACTTTTCGTTTTTAATTCGTTTGGATGTCTGCTTTTAAAAAAAGGAGAAGTCACAAAAAAAGTCAAAAACTTACTTTTCTCAGAAGCTAAAATTTTTAACTTCACAGAAAAGCAGAAGTCAAAAGTTAAATATTTTTTTTCAAAAACTAAATATTTTTATAAAAATATAAATAGCTTTAACTTTTATAAAAAGTACTTTTAAAATAAGGAAGTAGTAAAAGTTACTTTTAAAAAAAGCTAAACCAAAAGACCTCTAAGAGAGGTCAAATTCCTGAATAACATTAATTAAAGAAAGGAAATTAAAGTTTCATAAAAAGTAAAGATATAAGTTTTGACCAACTTTTTCTTTTTTATAAAAGGTGACAAATCTGTAAAATTTCATCAAAACAACCTTTGTTATAAATATTATATAGATTATAATATTGGTTGGGATAATCTTAAAATTAGTGTAGTAACTACATGAATACTTTAATAATTCTTACAAACTATGTATTAAGTTTTATCTATGTCTGTACAAATGAAGCACTGGAACAATAATTGTCATCCAATTATCATTGTTGATCTATTTTTTCCCGTTAAAACGAATTCTATAACCAAGTACAGTAGAGATAGATTTCTTTTATGTTTGAATATGACTTAAAATTGAAAAGTTAATTCTCATTATATAAATTTTAAAATTAAAATGATTTTAAAAAGCATATTGATTATTCAAATTAAAATTTCTTTACCCTCATCTTTTTCTTGTTTTAATTTTGTCGTCTCAAATTCAAAAAGCACCCCCAAAAGTTGAAAATATCTTCAGTATTATTTATTATACCATTTATTAAAATTAAAAAGAAAAAGAAAACTAATATCACCTATTTTATTCACAGAATAGTCAATATAATTTTTTTTTTAATTAACTCAACTCTAATTGGCTTCCCGATATTCATATAAAATTCAATTACGGTAATATATGAGAATCAAATAGAATTTTTTTTACACTAATAAATTATCTGATTAGCAACTAATAACCATTACATTAGATTCATTGAATCCTTCAAAGCCCGAAAGATTTTCCACACGTTTGGCCGAAGAAGAAACAAAGAAATGAGATCAATTTCTGTCCCAACAACCCACTCGTTGGACTATATACTTATAAATAATACTATCATGCATAACTGCAAGAAATTGCAGGGAAAAACATCCCCAATTTTCTGCTTTAAAAGCAAAGATTTGCGAGGGAGTAACGAAAATAATCGAAATGGAAGGGGAAGAAGATACCTCAACCTCATTCTGCAAAGACGTACCCAATCTCCTATCATCATTTGTTGACACCTTCGTTGACTTCTCAGTCAGCGGACTCTTCCTCCTCCCTCCGCCGCCATCGCCGCCGCCGCTGCCCACGCGGCTGCTTTCCCCGCGCCGCCTGATCGCCATCGGCGACCTCCACGGCGACCTCAAGAAGACCAAGCAGGCGCTGCGCCTCGGCGGCCTGATCGATGCCTCTGACCGTTATATCGGTGGCTCCGCCACCGTAGTCCAGGTCGGCGACGTCCTAGACCGCGGCGGCGATGAGCTCAAAATCCTCTATTTCCTCGAGAAGCTGAAGCGCGAGGCGGCGCGTAGCGGCGGCAGGATTATCACCATGAACGGTAATCACGAGATTATGAATGTTGAGGGAGATTTCAGGTATGTGACGGAAACTGGGGTAGAGGAATTTAGGGTTTGGGGGGAATGGTTCCGAATGGGGAATAATATGAAGAGTTTGTGTAGGGGTTTGGAAGTTCCAAAAGACCCCTTGGAAGGGATTCCAATGGGGTTTAACGGCGTGAGGAAGGAGCTATTTGATGGGTTTAGGGCCAGGGTTGCGGCGTTACGGCCCAATGGCCCAATTTCGAGGAGGTTTTTGGCGCAGAACGTTACTGTGTTGATCGTTGGTGATTCAATTTTCGTTCACGGCGGGTTGTTGCCGCAGCATGTTTCTTATGGTTTGGAGAAGATTAATGAGGAAGTTAGGGATTGGCTTAGAGGTTCCACGGGGCAGTTTTCGCCGCCATATTGCCGGGGCAGGGATGCTGTGGTTTGGTTGAGGAAATTCTCCGATGAGGTTGAGAAGGATTGTGATTGTTCGACCCTTGAGCATGTTCTGTCCACGGTTCCTGGTGTGAAGAGGATGATCATGGGCCACACGATTCAGACGGCCGGGATTAATGGCGCTTGCGAAAACCGGGCTATTCGGATCGATGTGGGTATGTCCAAGGGTTGTGGTGATGGTTTGCCTGAGGTTTTGGAGATAAATGGGACTTCCGGGTTGCGCATATTGACATCAAATCCCTTGTATCAGAGTAAGGGCAATGCATCTAGCTTGGATGTTGGGAAGGACGAAGGTTTTGGATTATTGCTTCCAGAACATGGTGGACCTAAGCAAGTGGAAGTTAAGGCTTAAGGGTCTTATGCATTACTTTCAACTTCAAACAATTGGTTAGAGGATTGTTTACAGGTTCTGATTTTATCTTTTATTTGTCTGCAATTCGCCCCTAAGGTTTCGTTAGGTTACTGAATTTCAGTGAATATCTAGGGCTACTGGTAAATAATGATTGCTTAAATCAAGGCAAATGTTGCAATGAAGGTTTATCCTTCTTATGAGAAATGTAAAGTACAATATAAACTGCATTTATTTTTTAGAGATGTGAGATTAGAAAGTATCTCTTCCCTTTGCTTTTTAATTTAGTGGTGATGGTTTGGAGCTTTTGGGTGATGCATATTCCCTTCAAACTTTATGGGTATATTTAATGGATTGTTATATCATCATTGATCTGATACATAATTAATTTGCTTTCAATTTATTTCACTAAGTACTTGTTCTTCCTAAAGATGAGGACATAGATTGGTTGACTTCTATATTACAAGATTCATAATGAGGCATAAAAACCTATTTGATGTGGAAAGGTAAACTGTAGGATCTGGATCCTCTAAAGTTCTTATAAAACTGCAGAGAGTGCAATCCCTGCAATCAAATGGTTCATTTTTTATTATTGTTATTATTATTTTTTTGGTGGGGCTTAATTGATTACAGAAAATATATTTTTGTCAAGGTGGGAGATGATAACCGCCTAACAATTTCTGTATTTTTTTTTTAATTTTTCATTTTCATTTTGTTTTGAGGGGTATGACCCTCTCGGGTGGAGAAATTTTTTGAGCTCCAAGGAATTTTGCCAACAGGGAAAGTGTCCCTTGCTTTTGTCAGTATAGAAGGGGTACCATACATTGGTTTTCGCCTCTTGAAGAAAAGACAACCCAATCTTGATTGGGGTGAGTTGACAAAGCGTTAGTACAACGGTATGGGGACCGAAGCCAAGGTAGCATTTATGAACGGTTAGCTAAGATCAGTCAAGAAGGAATGGTGAACGATTATGTCCAAGAATTTGAGGTGTTGATTGCAGGCAGAGGATGTAAGTGACAATCAGCTTTTGGGTTATTTTTTGGCTGGTTTGCATGTGGATATCTGATCTAGGGTTCATCTCCATGACCCATAGGATGTTTTGCGTGCTATTGACTTGGCCAGGGATGTAGAAGAGGGCTGACCAGCAACAGTGGCGAACTACGGCAACCAAGCGACACAGAGTTTGGAGGAAGTACGAAATGGACCAAAATAGGGAGTTTTGTTTCGCGATCTAGGTCGTCATCTTATGGGTCGGCGACAAACCGACCCGTTATTCTTGGTGCTGTCGGGCCATGGCCCAATACTGCTTCGTCATCTAACTCGCTTCAAAATGGGTCTCATACCCAAGGCTCGATAAAAAATCCCCATTTTGGAACCCTATCTTCTCAGTCACGTTCTCGAGGGAGTAGACAGTTGCCCTATGATGAATGCATGCGCAGACGAGAAGATAACAAATGCTTTCATTGCGGCTTGCCTTACGGTCCTGGTCACAAATGTCAGGCCAAAATGCCTTGCCTTACCATTCTTGCAGAAGGTGAATCTGAAAAGGGAAAAGCCGACGTTGACATCTTAGATGCTACCCAAAAGTTGGATGCTATGGAGCTCACAACAAATCCTGAATTTCGGTGGTTGGAGTTGTTGCGTTGTTCGATGGGGGGTTTGACGCAACCAACGACTATGAAGCTGCGAGGGGAGGTCCATGGACATCTGGTGTTGGTTCTTATCGAGAGTGGCATAAGCCATAACTTCGTGGGATCGGGTCTGGTTCAGTGGTTAAGTATACCCTCTGTAACGACCCTTTCTAGAACCAGGTTATTAACACCAACTATGATATTAAGCGCAGTTACAATCACCAATATTAATTAAGATAGGCGGCTGCAATCACACATACATACTAAGGCATTGGCTAGACTGCTTATTTTCCTTAATTACATACTTTCCCACTTAGGGAAATTTGCTAACTCTTAGTCTTTGTCTTTACATTTGAGGCTTCTAATAATTTCTCTAACACCAAGGTGTCTACAAGCTTAAAACTACATAACTCATATTAAAATCGTCACTTACATAATTTTTCCTACTCATAATCATCATAGGTTTTACAACCATCTTTAGGTCATTTTCTCAAAATGCCTCAACCATCAATTTTATTGGTTTTCCTTTTTTCTTATAACATTCTAAGCATGTTTCACAACTACATCTATGTCTAAAACATCCATTTACTACTCCAATCATGCCAAATTTGAAATTCACTATTCATAAAACCTTAGGCACATGCAACACTATGAAAATCAGAAATGAGGAAGGGAAACTTACCACAAATGAGTCTAGAGTGGTGTGGGGAAGGTTTCCCAAGTATTCATAAGCTCCAACACCCTCAAAATACAAAACTCTCACGAAATGTCACTCCAATGTGCACCAAAGTGAAAATGGAGGATGGAAGGTTGATGAGGGAGAGATACTATGAGGTTCTCATTTTTTACTCACAAGCTTTCAAGGTCTCTAGCAAGAATGGGTTTCAAGCTTTCTTCTTTTTCCTTCAATGGTGAAGCCTCGTACAGGAGAATAAAATGGGTGTTCTAAAATTTCTACTCGAGACCCACTTTTTTAATTCTGTAATCGCGTTGCTCGTTGACCACCTCGCTCTAGCGAGCATGGGCAACGAGAACTTACAACGCTTGCTCAGCTCCTCGCCCAAGCGAGGGCCTTATTGTGTATTTTCTCATATAATTCTAATAATTTATACTTTCATAACTCATAATAAATCATGGGCAAATATATGTATTTAACCTGGACTCACTGTTCTATAATCTATCTGTCTGATTTTATTTTCTGCATTCTTAAATAATTCATGAAATCTCTTAATTATTCATGAAAGTTTCATAACAATTCTGATTGATCTTACTAATTCTGTTTATGAGGGTTGAGGTGTTATAATCTCCTTGCAACTTCTTCCTTTGGGGTTCGACTAGAAGATGGGCAACAGAAGAGGTCTCATGGGTTGTGCCCACAACTGGTGATGAATTTGGGAAATTATCAAGTGATGATGACTTCTATATCTTTGATCTTGGAGGGGTGGATATTATTTTGGGAATTGCTTAGCTGCAAACACTAGGTGAGGTACGAGTTAATTGGAGGACTTTGCTATGTCCTTCTCGGAGGGTGATCGCTCGGTGTCTTTGCAAGGAGATCCGGCTTTATCACAGTTGGTGGTGTTTACTAAGGCGTTGTTAAAAATCGTGGAAATGGAAGCTGTAGTGGTTTGCTATTTTGCTGAAGCAGAGTTGGAGAACAAGAGTAATCATAATGGGGTGTCTTTAAAACAGCTATCACAGTTACAAAAGTTGCTAGAGGAGTTCTCTGTTGTTTTTTCTATTCTTACTTCTCTTCCTCCAAAGCGTTTAGTAGATCATTGAATTTCCTTGAAGAAGGGGGTTGACCTGATCATTGAATCATAATGGGGTGTCTTTAAAACAGCTATCACAGTTACAAAAGTTGCTAGAGGAGTTCTCTGTTGTTTTTTCTATTCTTACTTCTCTTCCTCCAAAGCGTTTAGTAGATCATTGAATTTCCTTGAAGAAGGGGGTTGACCTAGTCAATGTATGTCCTTACAAATACCCACATCTGCAGAAGAATGAAAGTGAAAGGCTTATGTCAGAGATGTTGCAGTCAGGTTTTATTAGAGCTAGTAACAGCCCTTATTCTAGCCCAGTGATTCGCGTGAAAAAGAAGGATGGAAGCTGGCTTATGTGTGTAGATTATCGAGCGCTGAACAAGTCTATCGTCCCAGATAAGTTTCCTATTCCTGTAGTTGAAGAACTTTTAGATGAATTGCATGGAGCTAAATATTTTTCTAAGATGGATTTAAGATCTGGTTATAACCAAATTCGTGTGTCTAAGGCTGATATCCCCAAAACAGCCTTTAGAACCCACCAGAGTCACTTTGTATACCTGGTTATGCCGTTTGGTTTAACCAACATGCCAGCCACTTTTCAATGTGCGATGAACACTATTCTTGGACCTCTTTTGCGTAAATTTGTTTTGGTATTTTTAGATGATATTTTGATGGGTTTTATTAATCTCATGTTAAAGGAGATAGTTATCTCATGTCATAGAGACAAACTAGTGGGCTCCACCACTTGAAAAAAGAAAAGAAAAGAAAAAGGTGGCACATTTATCGAAGGGTGTGTAGGAGAGAAAACTTGTCTCGTGTGACATGAGAATAGTTTTTCCCTATTTTGATTTACAGCAAGTCTTGGGTAGATCATTTGTTTCATTTGCAGAAAGTTTTGGCTACTTTAAAATTCCATAAGTTTTTTTCTAACCAGAAGAAGTATGGGTTTGGTCTCACCCAAGTGGAGTATCTGGGCCATGTGATTTCCTCACAGGGGATAGCTATGGATATGAGTAAAGTTGATTGTATGCTGAAGTGGCCTGTTCGCAAGAGCATTAAAAGTTTACGTGGTTTCTTGGTCCTTACGGGTTACTACCGTAAATTCGTTCAAAATTATGGTAAAATTGCCAAGCCACTTACAGAGCTATTAAAGAAAGGAAATTTCCATTGGTCTGTTGAGGCTGAGAATGCCTTTGAGGAACTTAAAACTGCTATGATGAAGGCACCTGTTTTAGCCTTACCTAATTTTGATTTGCCATTTTCAATTGAATGTGATGCTTCTGGGAGAGGCATTGGGGATGTGTTAACACAGGAAAAACATCCAATTGCGTTTTTCAGCAAGGCGTTAAATGCTACTGCTCTCTCAAAGTTAGTGTATGAAAAAGAGTTAATGGCATTGGTCTTGGCAATTCAGCATTGGCTACTTACCTTTTGGGTTGTATATTCATTGTTTACACGGATCAGAGAAGCTTCAAATTCTTACTGGAACAACAAATCACTTACTCGGATCAAGAGGCTTGGATGGCGAAGTTGTTGGGTTATGAGTTTGATATTTGTTATAAGCAGGGTTCCAGTAATAAGGTAGCTGATGAACTTTCTAGGAGAGAGGAGGTGCTTGAATGTGGGGCAATTTCCAGCCCTATTTGGCAGGACTTCCAACTGATTGATGGGGAAGTTAGTAAGGATCCAGTTTTAAAAAAAATAATTACCGACTTGGAAGAGAACTCTGATTCGCATCCATCTTACATGATGGAAAATGGGAGGCTGCACCACAAGGGCAGGTTGGTTATTTCTTCTACTTCCCCTTGGGTTAAAAAATTTCTATTTGAGTTCCATTCTTCTCCCTTGGGGGGTCATTCTGGGGTGTATCGTACCTTTCGTCGTTTGGCCCAATCGATTTTTTGGATTGGGATGAAAGGAGCTGTTACAGAGTTTGTTGCAGCT